AAAAATAATCATAAGTTATAAAATTAAAACTTATTCATATCGTATTTTATCTTGTTTACAACCATTAACAAAATAATTTTACAAATATTAAAAGATATTTTATCATTTTACTAAATATTTAAAAGAAAGATTTTTAAATATATTATTTTAATAAATATATGAATTATATATGACAAATAAATCAAAAATATAATTCTCAAATAAAAAAAATAATATATAATATCTAAATAAAAATATAATTATAAAGAGTAAATATAATAAGATAAATAAATGTATAATTATAAAAAAATAAGGATAATTATAGAATAAAGTATAAAATTATAAAAATATAAAATTTTGTATAACCAAAGAAAGATTATGAAATTAAGAAATTTTATATTACTATGATAACTAAAATTTTTCTTTGATCAATTAAAATATCTTCTGCTAAAATAAAATAATCTAAATAATTTATATATTAAATCATATTTCTTTTATTTTATATATAGTTTATATTTGTATAAAATATCTAATATGATCTAAAGATATTGAATATATTCTTTTTTTATCTTGTTATATATTAAGATATTATCTAAATATATAATTATAAATTTATTTAGAAATCATGAAATATATTACTCATTAAGATTATAAATATAATAAATATATTAGTATAATTATTTGATCTTTACATAAAATAATTATAAATAATATAATATAAATTTTAATTTGCTTTGTATTTATTTAAAAATAGCAAATAATAATAATTATTAAGATTTTAATATATTAAATAATATTATTAAAAAGTAAAATTATTAAAAATATAAAAAGAATATATAAAATTTTTGCAAATTTAATAAAAATTTTATTATATTAATTATAATTACTATTATATTTCTAAATACTCTTATATTATATAAAAAAATATTTTTATAATTAATTATAACTTGTAATAACTAATTAACAAATTGTAATTTAATTATAATAACTAATTAAAAAATTATAAATTAATTGTAATTTCATCTTTAATTAAATATTATTGGAATATTAGTTAGTAAATATAACTTTATAAAATAAATTCAAGCTTATATAAAAAATATATTTGAAATTTGATAAATAAGATATATAAAAAAGATATATTCTAATTGACTTATAGCTTTAATATAATAATACAGTCAAATCTCTCTATAATTACTATAATTAAGAAAGCAAATTTTGATAATTAAAGAGAAATATGACTATAGAGAGGTTTTTTTAATTATAATTATTTAATAACTGAAAAACTCAAAAACTCAAAAAGATATTATAAAAAAGTAAATATTAAAAAATATAACTATAGAGAGATCTGATTATATTACTAACTTTTGATAATATATGAATATTATAATTAAAGATAGACTTCTTAACTGTTATAATAAAATAAGTTGAAATCTTATAAATTTTGAGTTGTAATATTATAATAAATAGATTATTATCAGACTATAATAGTTGCAGCATCCATTACTAGTCATGATATTAATAAGAAAGAAGCCTTAGCAATAGAATGTTATGTTTTAAAAGATGATGAGTTGGATGCATGCTAAATTCAGATAATGATTGATGAAGAAATTTAATAAAGTTATTATAACATCTATATCAAAAGTATATATAAGTAGAATATGTAGCCATTATGAATATATTAAGAGAAATTTGAATGAAATAAAAAGTTTAGATGTGATGAATGTGGCCTTCGAATTAATAGAGACTTAAATGACGCCAGGGAGATTCTTCCTTCGGGTATATAACATATACAAATTGGTTGATTTTGGCTAACTATTTTAGCTATGGTTGATCGATCCAATCCATCCGACAGGTAACCAAATACATGTAGGAAATGACAATCAAACATGTGGTTAAATTAATCTGTTTATCGTTATTGCTTTTCAAAAAAACGATAACGATAAATAAAAAATTGTCTCAAAAATTCGTGATGTTTTTTTATATCATTATCATTATTGTTCTCTTATCATCTGCATTGTTTCTAGTTCAGAAACCAAGGGTAACAATAGTAAGCATATTTGGATATGCTTTTAGCGTTGGGAGTTTTTAAACATTTTTTACATGTAATCTATTATCCAAGAATGAACCTCCGCTTGTTCCATATCGAATCCCTATAATCGGCCATGCTTTTTCTTTGCAAAAAGATCCGAGAAACTTTCTTAAAAAATCGCGTAAACAAGTTGGTTTTAATTATTGTTAAGTTAGCTATTATTAATTTTTATAATATTATAATGTGAAATTAAAATAATCAAAGTATGGTCATATATTCTCCATCTATTTATTTGGTCGAGTTATCACAATAGTTGATAGTGAGTTTGCGCATGAAGTTTATAATTCGAACGATTTGAGTTTCGAAGAAGCGTTGGAGGATGTATGTAGACCAATTTCTCAAAATGAAAATATGGGATAGATTTTCTGATTACGCTTTTTCTTTACGTTAGTGGATTCCATTCAAAACACATTTTGGGGTCAAACAAGGTTTTGGTGGAGAATTAGCGGAATGCATACGCAAATATTTGTATTCGCCCAAAGATCTAAACATTTTCTCGGAAATACTCAAACAGACGTTTACTACAATAATTGAACGTCAAATCGGAGATTGTAAAAGTAATTATTGCAATTTACATTATTTAGTTAAGGGAGTGATAGATATTCTGATCGATTCTGCTTAGATCCGAAAACGATCAATTCTTCCTTGGACTTTATAACGGAAGCCTTTGCTCGGTCACTTGCTCGTGTTTTGTTCGAAGAGGTAATCTACTTCATTTATTTCTTTGATCATGAATTTAATTAACAAATTCTATAATTCAGGAGCTTTGTAATGATCGAGATGTTTTAGACGCTTTTCTTTCTTATGGAAGTCCGAAGGGTGATAACTTTACAGCTCTCTCGTTATTAAACTTTATACATCCGTGGTTTTATCATATTGTAGTGTGAGTCTTTTGATTGAAGATTAGCAAACTTATTATGAACGCATATTGAAAAAATCTTTCCTTATATATAAAGAAAATTCATCAATAATCCAGGAAAGAAAAACCGTGATATTTTAATGCGAAAAATCAAACCGTATATTGCGAAAAAATTTGAAAATAAATTTAATAATGAAGAAAAAGATCAGGTATTTGATAGAAAACAATATTGTATTATTTTTACTTTGTCAAGATGCCTTATTTATCTCCGAATTCCTTTCGGCGGAATAAGGTTGATTTTCTTCAAATATGCATGCCCAACTTCGACAAAAATAATGTTAATGAATCGGTCGGAAACAAACTTATGCTTCTTGTGTTTGCTGCACTTTTTACGAATTCAACCATTTGCAACGCCGTACTTCGTGGTATTTAGAGAATTTCTGGTCTCGAGATATATGTACATTGGAGATTCATTAAATTATCGATTTTTAGACTATGCAACTCGACCTGAATACTGGCAAGAACTTCAAGACGAGCAATTAAGCATTATGCAAGAATATGGAAATAGTCTTTCATATGAAAGTGTGTCGAAGATGGAAAAATTGGATAGTTTTATAAAAGAATCGGCGCGCACTTATGAAGATATATGCAAGTATTATTTATTATTATTATATTATTATTATTATTATTATTTGTTTATTTATTTATTTATTTATTATTATTTATTATTATTATTATTTATTATTATTATTATTATCATTATCATTATCATTATCATTATCATTATCATTATCATTACCATTTTTATCGTTATAATCTACTATTACATGTATATATATTTACAGTTGGGGGTGATCATAAAGTAATCGGAAAGAAGTTTACTTTTTCTAACGGCATTGAAATTCCATATGGTACCAGATATGTGCTTTATTGGTCTTAATACAAAACATCAGAGAGCAACATTAACATTATTCATTTTTTTTAGGACGTAGCGTTTCTTTGGATTTCTCAATGATACACGGGGAAGAAAGTGGATTTTGTCCTAACGCGGATGCATTCGATGGGTTCCGTTACGTGGGAGAGAATTCTCCTTTTACTCGTGTAAGTCGCGAAGTGCTCACCTTTGGATTGGGACGTCACGCTTGTCCCGGAAGAAATTTTGCTGCCCATTCAATTAAGGTACTTGAAAACCTATTTTGATATATTCTACATTATCTTCGAATATATTGAATTCTCGTCCTTTTATAGATTATCCTCTCTCTTTTAATTCGCAAGTATACGATTACCGTTACTACCAAATCTGGACGAAAATCCCCGGCTCAAATTATAATGGGATTTGCATCACCTGTAGAAGAAACTTTGATTTTTCAAAATCTTTAAACACGTGTAATTTTATCAAATGTATGTATCAGGGTAATTTTATTTAAAATCTGTGACGATTTATCAATACTACACCGAATAAAGTTTTACAAATGATGTTTAAAGCAAAGGTATGTGCGAATGCAAACTATTTATTATATTAATGCAGCTAAATTATTTTTCGAAATTATGAGTAATTATTACTATCATGGTACTGTAAGATAGTCATTCTAATATTGATTAGCTTTCTGTTGCGCTTGGCCACTTGTTTTATCTAATTTGCCTTCTGCTTGCATTTGTTGATTACCGGTAATGCCACCAATTGCGTCTTTAGCATGTCCCTTCACGTTATCTTTAACCCCTGGAAAGAAAATGAAATTTCTTTAAAATAAGACCAACGAGAATAAAATTCTATTTTATAACAAAAATTGTACCTTGTGTTTGGCCCTTAAATTGTGCTGCGTTATATTCAGATTCACCTTGAAGTTTTTCTACTTTGCCTTCTGCTTGCATTCTCTCGTTACCCTAAAATTATTAATAATACGCAAATACAATTAATTTTATCGCAGTGTGGCGTGTAATGATGTGGTGGGTGGTTTAAATACATACAAGCACGGTTCCAACTTTTTCTTTTGCGGCGCCTGTATAGTAAGTAGTATTACCGTGGGTTTTGGTTGCGCCGTCGTTTCCGTTGGTTACGTTGGAAGACATTTTTAAGAAAGTTTTATTGAATTGTAATGTTAAAAAGTGTTTGTGTGTTGAGTTTAATTGTGAATTTAACTGGATGAATTTGAGAGTTTATTTTGTTGGGTAAAAACCAAGCGAAAGAAGGAAGCTATATATAAGAATTTTTTCTTTATTTCGTGACGTGTCGTGTTGTCAAAAGAAAATTCAATGCACGTTGACGCGTCGATTACTCGATCCACCGTCTAAATGACATATTCATGACAATGACAATTACATGTATAACGATAATCGTGGGAAGAATTGGATCGGCGGTTAGGTAAATAATTACGTCAGTTCGTTCACATGTACGCACGTGTAAAACTTTCTTAAATTATATAATTTGTTGCTATTATCGAAGAAATACCACCGCGCGCGTTCATACTTTCACTGGTACCAAATGCCAAAGGAAGATTACACGAAAAAAAGTATGCAAAGTTCAGCCTTGGAAAACTCAATCAAATTATATGAGTTATATGATCAACCTTGTCAAGAACACTGTAATAAGTTTATTGTTGGAGGAAACCACACAAAACTTCTTCATTTATTAGAGGAAACCTACGAACGTTTATTGAATAATATCTCTAATACAGTGCAACTTGAACAAAGCAAATAACTATATATCGATATGTGAATGATCATTCAACGCCTATCAGATTACGTATCGGGTATCGATATATGTTTTCGGATGAATGAAGAAATACAAGAGAAGCTATTGTTTTTTATTTGAATTATAGTAATAAGAAATAGGAATAGATATCAGAGTTTCTAATAACAAGAACACTCAAAATTTTGCGTCATTAATTATTCAAGCGGTATGATTATTGGTGTTTTGGGAATTATTGGGACTCGCACAGCTATTTATTATCCTTAATTGAGCAAAGATTAGAACAATGTTTTTTTTGTGCATAAGTTTTTATTTTATATGTACTATTTTTTCTTTCAAACTTTCTTATACTTTTTGTTAATAGCTTCTGAAAGTTGTATTTTTAGCGAGAACGTTTTCTCTTTCGGAAATGTAATTATTATTAAACGTTTGAATTTGTGATTCCTTTTCGAACATTGATCTTTAGAATGCCTCATCAGATAGCGATCTCGAAAATTAATAACCTTAGCATTGATTATTCTAGTACGTCCAATGCAAAATTTACTCGGCTTCTTAAAAACATTATATAATACTGCAAGTTAGCCATGCGACGATTTATTATTGGATAATTTATTCTTATCGTTTACCATATCATTATTGAACTCTCCCTAAATGCAAGTTTTCTCTAAATGCAAGCTTCCCAAATCATAAGAATTTTTCTAAATGCTACATGTATAAATTTGTGGTCCCAACAGATTGCATTTGGGAGAGATGTATTTAAGTTAAAGTTTATGATTCTTATTGGATAATTTATTCTTATCTGACACTAGCTTATGATGGTTAAAAGCACATGTATACCGATACATGTACTATTTTAAGATAGCAAAACTTAGAAATGTAACTAACGCTAATGCTAAATGACCTAAAAATGGTAATACCATCAAAAACAATGCATCTTAGCTAGTAATTTAGTGTTCATTAGACAACAATGCAAATAAGCACATTATTCTTGCATTTCAATTACATGTATACAGTATATTGCGATTAGATTTTAAGTGGCATCAAAATGACAAGTCATTTAAATAATCGCATTTTGTCTATATGTAAGCTTGTATACATGTACTAATTTTGAATCGAAACATAACGATAATGCTATCAGGCTGAGTACATTGCATTTCAATAGCGATGTGAATGTACAGTACATGTACACTAAATGTTTACCGTTACATTCCTTAATTAAATATATCCGTATCGATATTTTTTGGTGCTCAAGATCTCAATACTACATGTAATAGTAATACATTTCATAACGATAAACAATGTGATCATTTTGTTTTGTATAAAATTTGCAATACATTAAAAAGAAAATTTAGAAAAAATTTCGTCATAGTGAAACTATACATTGTACAAGCTTTATAATGAAATATTATTCAGCTCTATTTTAATAAATGGCCACAAGATATTTAATCATGTCCCAAATTTACGTGCATTATTTATTATAACGATAAACAAATAAATATTGCAGCAGGATAACTATGAGTGTTATTGCTCCTAAGAATTGATCTAGAATATTTTTTTTGACTGAACAACGCCAGAATTCTCCCGTCAATATGGGTAGCTGCATTAGCAGGGCTAAAGCTCAAAAAGAAATTACTCGGGAAATTCTGAACGAGAGCTTTCGATTCATTGACGGCAGGCGTTATCATAACAATCCAAATTCTCGATATGCTTTGGTAAAATTCAAAAAAAAAACTCAAAACTCATTTAATAAAGAATTTATCGTCACTTAAAATTTTTATTCGCCTAATAGCCGAATGACGATACTGAAATAGACCGACTTCAGCAGCAACATTTTTGCCTACGCTATGCTTGGCAAGGAAACTTTCATGCGCCCATCATGGATTCCTTAAAAAATAATAACGTTGCTGTTTTGGATGCAGGGTATGCAAATTTAGATGATTTTATGATAGATAGTTTTCTTACAATTATTGGATTTGCATGTCTTTAGTTGCGGTTCGGGTGTTTGGTGTTTAGACATGGCAACAGAATGGCCAGATGTGGAATTTCTTGGACTTGATATTTCCCGAGTTTTTCCAGAAGATATAAAACCGAAAAACGTGAAATTCGGTGAGCACAATATTCTAGAAAAAATTCCAGTCGACGATGGGCACTTTACATTCATTCACCAACGCTTTCTGTGTGGCGGAATTCCGATAGCAGATTGGGAAGGAAATATTCTAAAAGAATTCGCGAGAATTTGTAAACCAGGAGGATGGGTTGAATTCTTGGAAAGTGATGTGAAATTTGTGTCACCGTCTCCAAACGCAGACTGGTTATGGACCTCTTGTACGTGTTGTTGAATAATATTATTCTATACGTGCATCTCATGATTTAATACGTCATCTAAATTAACTTTTTTAGTCATTAAGTTCTGGGAATTGAGAGGGATGGATGTAAATATTGGCATACATTTAGAAGGTTATTTGATCAAGGATGGGAATTTTACCAATATTCATCATGAAACATTAGACATTCCAATTGGAAGCTGGGGTGGAAGATTGGGTCAATTGGTAATCCTTTTCTTTCGAATCATTCTATCATGATTTTTTCTTCTAAATCTCATTCATATACAGATTTCCGAAGATCTACGTCTCGGACTTGGCGCATTAAAAGTGCCATTGGCCTCGATTATGGGTATCACAGTGAAAGAATACGAGAATTTACTGGAAAATTTCGAAGAAGAAGTAAATGAATACCAAACCTCTTGGCGGCAACATCGTATATACGCGCAGAGAATCACTTCACCGTAATGGACGATTTTTATGATAAGAATCCTTTTATATTGCATGAATTCGAAAATTAAGATAAATGCACCTAGAACAATATTATTAGTGTACTAATTCATCTATAGATATATTTAATTTAAAAGTTTTTCGTTATGTATCTCGAATAACTAAAGACCATTCCCCCACGTGGCTTTTAAATTATCGTTATTCCAGAGATATTGCTTTTGAATTTTTAGTCTGACTTTGTTTACGTCAATAAGCACATAATGATGCAAAACAATAAGATTTTTCCAAGCTCGGAATAAAGTTAAACTACATATAATTGATATTTGACAGTATGGTATTTTATCGTCATTTATTTGCATTTTTGCAATTACATCATCACAAAAAAAGAGAACCAATTGTATTTTCCGATATCGATATCACATTATTTACCGGTACGTAATGGCTTTTTTGGCTTGTTCTCCAAATTTGGAAATTCATCATCTTGGTTGAAGAATCTTGTTTCACAATCAAACATGCAATTTAATTAAATTCGCCGCGATATTTTTCCGCATCGATTTATGCATGCCAACCTCTTCGTCATCCACAAATATTGACATGTTCAGTGAAAATGATAAAAGGTGGTCGAAGCCTTTAAATTTTTTTTAGTTAAACTTTTCCCACGTTTCGAAAGAATAAATCTCATTTATTGTGGTTCGAATTAAAAGAATATTTTCCGAGACATTTTCTTACATCAATTGAGAGATGGGTCATCGTATTTCTACACTCAAGAAAAGCAAATTAACGTTTAAAAAAACCCCGCAAAGAATAACTAATCTCGCCTTAACTAAAGAGAATAGTAGACCGAGTATGATCAGAGGAGAAAGTGAACGTGAAAATTTAATTGAAGTTCTTCAAACTTGTCGAGTAATTGATGGTCGCGTTTTTCAAATGGACAATGAACGATATCTTATGCCTTGTGATGATCTAGAGAAAACACGTCTTCAATCCCAACATGATTTATTCAAAGAAATATGGATTGGTAATTTCTCGTCTCCGATACATGAAAAGCTAAAGCAAGGTGGAATGCGAGTTCTTGATGCCGGGTAAGTCGATTAATTTTTCTTTTTGCATCCTTATTCTCTTAGACTATTTAATGATCATAATTGAATAGCTGCGGAACAGGTAATTGGACTCTTGACATGGCTTACGATTATCCTGCATCTACATTTTTGGGTGTTGATATAATTGAAATGTTTCCAAACAATGTACAACCTTCAAATGCTGGGTTTCTTCAATACAATATAATAAATGGTTTGCCATTTCCAAAGTAAATTCACCATACGATTATATGATTTAAAATCAAATATTTAATACAAAAAATTGGGCTTTTTAATCTTGTGTGTATTGTTTTTTAACAGTGAAACTTTTGATTTCGTATATCAGCGATTTTTATGGGCAGCTTTTACACAAGAACAATGGATACACTTAATAGAAGACTTCATAAGAGTCACAAAAGCAGGCGGATGGATAGAATTGATGGTAAGCAACCTTCTTTCTTAAAAATTGACACGCATTTCATCTCACAATTACTGACTTGGCGAATAACAGGAATTCGATGTAGAGATTTATAATCCTGGTCCAATCGCCAAAAAATTAAGTGATGCTAGTATGTAAACACCATGATACTTTTAAAAACAAATGTACTTATTAATTGATTATCGTCTTCATACTGCCAACAGCACAGAAACATTTGAGTTCAAACGGAATAAATCCCAAAATTCATTCAAAAATCTCAAAAATCATGACAAACACAAATAAATTCGAATCAATACGGACCCTTGAAATGACAACCCCGCTTGGAAATTGGCGGCAAACATCGCAGGGAATAAAGGTAATCGTAAAAAAGAATAATAGTTCCATTGGTTCGTTTACGATGTTAATTGGCTACGAATTTTGTAGGCACTTGAGGATATTGTTGCAACATTAAAATCTTTACAGGTCGCATTGAAAGCGGTACTGGGTGTTGACAATCACGAATATAAAGAAATGCTGGAACAATTTATTGAAGAGGGATCAAAGTACAAAATGTATATAAAGACATTTCGCTTTTTTGGCATGAAAGCAGAAATGTCTTGAATTAATAAACGATCCTTCTTTATATATCACCAGACAGATATAAGGGAATGAGCAAAAATCTTGAATCTTTAGGATCCGAACAGCTGTTATGATTCATAACACGCACGCACACACACATATATATATCAGGAAATATAAAAGACTATGAATAATTTAATTTATCTCTATATATTTAAGGGTAGTTTTTCATCGTTTTGATGAATTTCTTGAAAATAATTTTTACAAGATTCAAAAGCCATATTGTTAAAAACGAGTCTTTTATTAATTAGGATACATCCTAAAATCCGAAACTCTAATACCCGTAGCACCACCAAATTTTATTAAACTAGAGTAAATACATGTAGAAATTTTAATCCAAATAATGAATTAGACAATTTCACCGCATTAAACGCCGCTTAAATGAAAAAATGTAAAACGAGTTTTTGCAGTCAACATCCATTGAAGTTTCTACACCTTCATATGGAAGGCTTTCATGCACAAGTTGATAAAAGAGACCTTGTAAAAAAATCGTTTTGAATGGGCAAAAGAACGGTTACATTGGACTAGGTTTAATAAAGTAGAAAGGTTGACTTAAAGATCGCAATTTTTGCCGCATACTCGTAATCGGTGTAAGTTCGTAATTACCGTATTTTCGTGAAATAACGCACAAGGTTGTAATTTCGAATTTTGGCCTGAATTAGGCTTAATGCAAGCCGTAATTCGAAATAACCCCCATGGGCGTTATACGGTAATTATAAAATATCAATAAAAAATAAAATGGCATTTTTTATATTTTGTGTAAAATAATGAAATCCGCAATAACGATAATGAGTAATCGAGACAGTAATTGAGTATGAAACCTACCATTCGATTCATCAGAATTAGGATAATCAAAATGGTAAGCTTTATACACACTTTCCCACTGAATCTCGAGACATTGAGCTATAAGTGAAATACTATTATGATTTTTTCCATGAATTTCGCCTGATCTAATTATCACTGATTTCATAGTGGATTATCACTCAAATCGTTATAAAATACAAATTACATGTACATGTAGTACATTTATAATCAAAAATTCGATTTCCTTAATTTGCCTGTGAATTTTTGATTTATAATTTAATTACGAACGCATTAAATATTAATTCTATTGGAATGTTAAGTTTATAGATATGTTTTATTATCAATTAATAAGGAAGTGCCATTTGACTTTTTGAAGAATGAAGGTCTAAATATGAATAAGTTTGTATCTTATTATGCTAAAGTTGTCAAAAAGATTAAAATAAATTCACAAAATATTAATTGATTATTATAAATTAATTATCAATAAAAACACTCTGAATATCAAGTAGATGTTTATAGTAATATTTAATTGAAATAGATAATATATTTTTAATAAGCCAATTAAAAATATAAATATTAAATATAACTAATCTAAATATTATATTATATAAATAAATTAATATTTAATTAAATTTTTATAATCTTTATTTTATTTATAATTTAAAAAATATTTCTCTTAATTTTATATTAAATCAAATAATTTATTTCTTTTAACTATTTTAATTAAAAACACATTAAAATAAAAATAAGTTTAATTATTATTAATTGATATTATATATAAAGTTAATTTATATATATATATTAATGATAAAAAATATTAATATTATTATATATATTATTAATTTTATTATAAACTTTTTTAATATTTTAATATTTATTTTAGTAATATTTAAATCATATAAATTAAAAAGTATATTTTTTAAATAAAAATTATAATAAATAATTTTTATTTAAAATAAAAAATATAAATATTTATTTATTCTGATTAGTAACAATTCTAAAATATTTATTTTTGTAAATTTTTAAAATTTATAAATATCTTTTTTTACTTTATTTTATAATATAAATTAAGAAATATTTTCATAATTTATCATAGAGAAAAAAATAAATTTAAATAGAAAAATAAATTATAATAATCTAAAGTTATAAAATATATTTTTTTTATTATATTATATATTTTATTTTCAAATTAAAAAATAATTCAAAGAATTTAATTTATAATAATAAATTAAATAAATGATAAAATATTATATTTTATTATGGGCTGATGCAAAAAGATTAGTATAACAATATAAAATTAATAATTAATTTTAATAAATTTTGACCAATTTTTATAATTTTTTTATATTAAATAAAGAATAATCTAAATTAACTTTTTATACAATTTTAATTATTCTATTATACTTTAAATTAATAATAAATGAAGCATTACTTTACTAAAAAAACTAAAATAAAATTATTTTTTTCAAAAAAAAGACATTTAAATATTATCACTATCAATTTGCAAGATTAGAACTTTAAACTACATGAGCAGATTGCTCTAGATTTGATAAATATATATTTTAAATTTATAAAAATTGAATCAGTAGTTATAAAAATATTAAGATTCAAAGTTTAGTAATTAAATTATTTACTATATAATTTTTATATTAATTTTAATT